GGTCGACACCCAAAGCTTCCGAGCTGTTTGCCGCAAACTTCATTCAGTCATCTCTCCACCTCGAGCTCTTCATTCTCCTCTTTCAAAACTGATAAGGATTAACTTCCCTGATTGCAAAAAAAGGCACCCCGGTGGACACCTTCTTCTCTCTCAGTCCACCATTTATGCAATCGAACCTCTTGGCGAAATCTTGAACGCACACGACACTAAAACGTGGTGGGTCAGAGTCAAAGAATCTTACAATGGAAAGGTCCAGCTCGAGGATCCATTTTCTGGACGTCGAGTTAAAAACTTCACTGGTATCATCCCAAAGCACTTGAGCTCTCTCAACTATCGAGTTAAAGAGATTACAAAAGTCTACAGACTTGAGTTCGTTGGTCGATCTACAACTACATCCGGCAAATTTAACAGCTGGGAACCGAATTTTTTCCAGAAGGTGGTTGCTTCGCCGTGTCTGGAGGAAAATGGTGCTGATTTTTCGATGATGGTGATGTATTCTCCGGATGAGATACTGGCCGCCTGGAGATATGGTGAAGCGAAATGGCGTGATATAGAGTTTTTCAAAGACGACATGCTTGCTGACATAGTTTATCATGATGGGAAGTTTTATGCTTTGGGCTACCTCGGTAGTCTTTTATGTTTTGATATCAAAACTGGGGTAGATACTAAACTGATGCCACCGGGGCAGCATGATAGATGTTTTGGTTGTGGGTCTCGCTACTTGGTTGACTCGCTGAAAGATTTATTCTTGGTGGTTAAACGGTGCCGGGATACTATCATGGTCCTCAAGCTTAATAAAAAGAGACTGAAGTGGGAGCCGGTTAGGGATTATTTGGGGGATCGTGTGTTATTTGTGAGTAAGAATTGCACCTACTCTGTTTCGGCCAAGGAGTTTTGGGGTTGTAAACCGAATTGTATTTATTACACGGATGAATTCCCTTTCTGTTATGAGGATGGTGTCCCGACCCGCCCTGGAAAGAACGCGAGGATATATGACTTGAAGAAACATGTTGCTGGACGCCCCTCAACGTTTCCAGGCTATGGAAAACTCTTCTGGCCACCGCCTCCATGGCTGACGGACCTACCGGAGTATCTTTACCATGATTCTGATTGTAAGTGTTTTTCCTTTTTCTTTTAGCTTGTTTAAATTTCATTTGTAAATGGACTTATTTGATGCTTATTTATGGATGGACCATTATCAAATTCTTATTTTCTGATTAATTTATGAGTCTTTGATGGGGATTTGATCAGTGTAGTGATGAGAACTACTGAATTTGAAGCATTTGCTGGAAGAAAATACTGACATCATTTTACTCTTGTATCCTTGCATATGTTTACTATCTTGAAGATGCGTCAGATGATTCAAAATAGCTACTTGAAGAAGATTGTGTCGACAATGTAAATTTGTAATAATGTAAGAAATTGTTTTCTGATCTCGATTACACATTATCGTTCTGAATTTGTGTGTTTGCTCTTTAATTAGTATATTTTGAGGATGTTGGCTATGAGTATAGTGATACTGAATGTAAGAAATTTTTTGGCCTCTGCCAACTTGGCTCAAGGACAAAGCAGTATATGAGTATAGTGATACTGAATGTAAGTGCCTTTTCTTCATGTAACTTTTCTTTTTATTTATCAAAATACATCTAATTGTTGGAGTTTTAGACCACTTTAGCATTAGTAGGCCATGTAAACGCATTCAAGGGTTCTGCTGAAAGATTTTTTTAAGTTATTAATTCTTTATTGAGTTTAGACTTAAGAATAAGAATGTTTGTAAAACTAGGTTTAGTCTCTTAAACCTAGTATTTAAACACACTTTTCTCTTGTAATGAATGATAACAATTATAAGACAAATTACTTCATTGTAAATGAGAGAAGTGAGATGTAGTCTATTAATTAGGTAAATCAGGGTAAATCGCGCGTATCTCTTTTTTTATTTTACTGGAATGATTTGTGTGTTTGTCTATTACTTTGTTTTTGTGTTACTCTCTATTTCTTTCACTAATTAGCTTTCTTGTATCAATTTATATCATAGACTGATGTTATACTGACAAATTCTAAAACCTGTTCTTGCATGAATTGGAGCATAGCAAAAGTAGATGAATATGGTTTATGTTTGAATACTTGAGCTTGGAATGTTTCAGACCTATTTGGTTCATACAAATATCTAGTGACCCCTTTTTTTTCTGTTGAAATTTTTGAGAGTGATCTTCCCTGATGCAAATTAATAAGTTTCAATGTCTTCAGCCTTGAATGCTTTGAGACATTTTGTTTCACTATGGTTTTTGTTAATATGTGGTTTCAAATTCTCACAAACCAAGAGTGTTAGACTGTTGATAATTTTGACTTCAAGTGTGTAATGGGCATGGTTGGGAACATTTATTATCTTATGATTCTGAATGAGATGTTCTAACTCCATTGTTATGTGTAACCAGAATTACAAAGTTTTTCAATCTAAACAAATTTGTATTTATCTTGTGTTACCATTCAATGAGTGGTTTAACAGGAATTTTTCTTCTTCCTTCCTCCACTCGTAGTGATTTGGCTGAAAACCTTTTGCATCAGCTTGAATACTTACATTACTTTGGAGCTTTTTCGCTCTAGTTTAGGAATAAAGCTTTAAGTATAATGTCATACAATTCAATTCTTAAATCTTAATTGCTATGTTTTACTAACCAATGGTGCTGCCAGTTTGATAATCCTATGTTGCCATATTCTTTTCAAGAGTAACTTGTCACTCTCTCTTCTTCTTGCAGATGAATATTTTTCGGATTTTTGATGATTCAGATTAACTACCAGAAGAACCTGTGTGCATCATCATTGTGAAGAATGCTACATCTGATGATACAAGTTTTGTATGTATGTAACATCTCGAATTTGCATCTCCATGTGAACTTGTGTGTTTGCTATTTAGTTTCTTACTAAGAATGGTAAGGTGAAAATTGAAATGCCAAGTTCATTTTATGCTCTTTGTAAATGAACAGATCAATCTGATTTTTGGATGAGCTTCATCATCTTATTGATTTGGCTTAAAATTTTGCATAATTTTGCAAGAAGTATCTTGTTAGTTGTAGTTTTGGAGCAGAAATCTAGTCTTTTTAACAAATGAACTTACTGGAGAGTACTATTGTAACAGGTCCTGCGACAGCGTTCGGTACTCCTAGGACTGAAGTGCATTTCATATTTTCAACTTGGATCAAACTGGAAGCAAAACTTCCAATGTTTCATCAATAAGCTGCAAACTACAAAACAACAGAACAAAGAAAATGATCCCTTATGGTCTGCAGTAAAACCAGGGGATCTTAACAGCATTTATCAACCTTAAACAACCACAATGCTGATTCAGACACATTGAAACAGTCTGAAGTAAGCTAGGGTGAAACCAGAGCTTGAACTCTGCGGATCTTCTTTTGTTACTTAGCTCAAAATTATCAGGAGCGGATTTCTTTCTTTGTAGCTTGTTTTAAACTCGGTATGAAACTTTCTTTTTGTAGGAATTTTGAAAGCAGTCATAAATTCTAAGAGCTGATTAAGGGCTGTTATTTGTTGTTTGATCATCTTTCATTTGCCTTCTTATTTTCCATTTTTTGCCTGTTTAATGATAAATTAGTTTTGAATCACAAATCAAAATCCTATCAATTCATTGACTCTTTTGGCCTTTGAGTTACAGAAATCAATTAGCAATCCAAGTGATTCGAACTTAAAACCTCTTAAGTAATATACCTAATAATTATTGTTAAATCATTAGTAGTTTATTAGTGACACTCTCAATTCTCATCTTAGGGTAAACAAACTCATTCTCCTTTTCGAAAGGTTCTCACCGACCCATGCTCTTACATATTTAATAAGAATTCTTTTACAAATAGGAAACAAATTCGCTTTTCAATAATAAAAACTCTTTTTCTACATATATTTACTTGATGATAGTTTTGATAGTAATAGTTACATATTTGGTGCTACATTAACCGATTAGGAAAATTCATCATCTAGGAAAATTCATCATCAACGAAAGGATATATAATATCTAGCTGTTTCCTAGCAGAACCAAACAGCGAATTACGTACGAAAGTTGAAAGTTGTGTTACTCGAAATATTCATTGAAATCTCGAAGGTAATAGAGGTAAGTGGTAACCACTGTGTATGATCATATTCCTATACAGCTGACCAAAAGTTAACCAGTATTCCTATACACCTCACCTAGATTAACCAGTGTAAGCATGAAACTAAAAGTTGAGCGATACTACCAACTTTTATTAGACTCCCGATGTGATAGTTCGCAATGGCTATCATTTGTCTAATTGTAAATTTATAATTCCGAACTATTATATTGAGGTTATAAGAAAATTTTTATAAGATTAAGTTGTGAGTCAATCTTTATTATTAAAAGATAAATTGTTATTTTCACATTCAACACAAAGGAATTGAGAAGAGCGGATTTTCTTGGAAGCCAAACATCCTAAGCAAAACATTAAAAGGAGATGCAACCACATTGAGTAATATATAAACATAAGATTAAGATCACACAAGATAAAGTACAACATTACACACCATTAATTAAATGTAATCCAAATACATGCTTAGAAAATTAAACAAACAGCAGTACCATTTTGTTAAACACACTCATACTTGGCTACCATGGTTTAAAATACAAAATAAAACGTAAGACACAAGCAGCGAAAGACACTTTCCATCAAAGACCGTATCATCCCCAACAAGCAACTGCAGCCTTCTCAAGTAGATGCATAGAGCTAGACTCCAGTTGCCGCTAGCCTGGAATGATCAAAATTTATTCAGTTATAGCCTTTTAGGTATCATCTTTATAATCTAATCAGAGAAAATATATACAGTATTTGTCACTAAACACCACATCCCAAGGTATAATAAAAATATATTAAGAGGAAGGAAATCATTCAAACTATTCATACCTTTTGATTTTTGAACAAGAAACAAGTACATATAGAAAATGAAATTTAAAGTTGAAAAATTAAAGCTACTTACGTTTAGGAATTAGCTGAAGTGAGTTCCTTCGTCACCCACTTTGGTGGTGGCCAAAACAAATCAGAACAGTTTGGATGATCCCGGATCGCCATACTTGTATGATTCTTCAAGTTGTAAACTCCAGCCTTGTACCCTGGATGACGCATACAATTTCCAGAAAACGTAACATCACCTAAAACAACACAATTACCTTCAAATCCAGGGATCTCGTCGACTGGAAGTGTGAACGAACCGCCATCTCCCACGAAAACAACTCGATCTTCAAACTCCTGGTCCAGCTCTACCCACATGTTGTTGGCCTCGTCCAGCTTAAAAGCCTCCATGTGAATCGGGTAATGAATCGTATCAGAATTCTTTTCAGGTTTCGGATAGTTATGTGTCCAGTACTTAATAATCATAAACAACTCTTCACAGAATACCAAGAAGAACTTAATTCCAGCAGCCATGTTCGGCATTGGACCAGCAAGTCTTGTAATGTACAGGGTTTGTGGATCGACAATAAAAATTAGACCCATGTGGTTCAAAACATAGAATTTCTCCTTGTAGTAAAGAATATCTTCAAAGGAGGATATTCCATCGCATGTTATTAAACTCCAACTTTTATCTCCACGCCTCCAAACGTGCAAGCTTCCACCACCTTCAAGGGCCATAGCAGCGAACTTGTAATCACCCTTGACAAAAGCCTTTTCATCAACTTGCTCAAGCGTTGGAGTAATAACCAGTTTTCGAACAAAGAAAGGCTTCACTGAGTCAAACTTATCTTTCATACTTCTGTCTTCACGATCAGAAATAGTGAGATCAAGCTCGTAAGCCTTTGATACTACTCTCATTTGATAATCCAGCAAATTTAAGCGCTGGGGGAAGTCATTCATGGGCATTTCCGTGTACTGAAACATACATGAAGTATCCTTCAGCATGACCTTTCCGGTTTCAGACGACTCTATGATTCTAACGAGCCAAGGCTTGGTATTTTTAAGGCTTTGGCCACGGGGTTGGACTGCGTAAACTATGGAGGGTATGATCGAAAAGATAGGAAGCTTTTGGCCACGGTGTCGTGAAGGGTCATAGTCAACTGGAGCAGGAATCTCCAGAGAGGAATATCTGCGTAGAATTTTGGGTGGTTTGGGAATAGCATGACGGAATGTTTTACAGATTGTCCGAAAAAAAATGATTTCATGAGTATTAGGTAAATGTTTTGAGATGTCAACCAGAAGAGAATACGGAATACGAGTCCAATCTCGCGTGGACGGCTTGTCTCTTCTGATGACAGCCATGGATGTATCGGTTTCAGTAGTATTTGATTTTGAAGAGCCGTGACTATCATCAGCTTCCATGTTTGCTCTTTTAGGTATTGAAATAAATCTAACAGAACAACTCATCAAAGTACACAAACTTGCTTGAATTTGCTCTCTTCCAGGCCACCAGATAAATAGCCCCATGAGCATGAAGGCAACATCTTTTGGGGGGTAAATTCATGTAACTCGCTTACAGTTTATAAACTTACAAATCACTCCAAGAGTCCTAAAAAAAACAAATGATACCCTAAAACTTGAAAGATGGAAGCTGGGTTAAGAATTTTTTTGAAAATTATACTTTTGTCCCAACATTTGCCAAATTAATATATTTTTCTTTTTTGTTCTTATTCCTTTCTCTTCAGTCTCTTCCTCTATTATTTTTTTCATTTTTGATGAGAGATGGTGTTCAAGCCAACTTACGCGTACCTTAATTAATCATTCGAGACCCTAAACTTACCGACCTGATAAAAGCTCATGTCTCTTCCTCTATCTTCTTTTGTCTTGTTTTGTTGTCTATTAATTTCTTTTACTTTCTTTTTTTTTTTTTAATCAATATTCGTATATCAGTAACAATTAATTCAAACCAACAATGTTAAATTTTATTTTCTTGTCTTTAAGTTGAGATATTTTTTGAATCCCTTGTGCATGGCTGCAGTGGATGCTCCTGTTATTGCCTTATGTTGATCAAGTGAATTTGATTTTGAAAATTATTCGACGAATAATGTGGTTTGTAATTTATTTGATGAATAATCTTCCAACTAGAGAGCACCAAGATTTGACGATGATATTCATGAAAACGAGAAACAAGAAGTTTACATGGAGGAGAAAAGATAGGAAGAGAGAAAAAGAAGCGAGAACGATATTTTCCCACCCAAGCTTTAGCCTAAAAACACTTTTCCGTTTGAAAATGACACTTGCCTTAAAGATCTATCAGTAAATTCATGAATTGACCTGGTCTAAACAGTATAAAGACAAAAATATCCTTCCTTCTTCATCTCCTCTTTTCTTCTTTCTCCATTTAGTATTTAGGGTTCTTCCTTTTCCATTTAATATTTAGGGTTTAGAGTTTAATATTTAAGATTAAGAGTTAAAAAGAAATGAGTTTAAGTATTTTATCGGATGGGACTTGCCTTCTTAAAACATCCCAAATATCCTTTGAATAATGAGTTGTTTTTAATGTTTTGTCATATTAACAGATCCGATCCATGGACCATGATTCATCTTAGTTTGTATATAGTAGAATTTTAGGTGGACGATATGTTGTGACTTTCTTTTTCTAAGTACCATCTCTTTTGTGTAGCTTTAAGAGCACATGTTAATAAATCCAAAATTTTAATTATATATACGAGTATATAAGTATATGGAACCGAGAAAATGTAATCAAGAATAGTGATTTATAAATATTGCACTTAAATTTGGAGCTTATTCAATTACAAATGTATATAGAACACAAATGTTCAATTTCAAAACATGAAAGCAGGCTATCTCAATAGAAATTTATGTTACTAATTAATAATCATTCAATTTCAAATGGTTTAAAATTTGTTAAGTTGTAATTAAAATATTATGCTTTTAACTTCTCTCGGATTATGATATATACTGAAAGGATTCTTACAGTTTCTGGAAGAAAAGTCAAAATACAGAGAAATCAAGAAAATCGAAGAAAAACTTAGCAACGAAAGGGGAACAAATGAATTTCTTTTTCATTAACTAATTAACTGTTACAAGAGGCGGCTTTTTATAAGCGTACAAAAACATAAACGCCACGGTTTCCTCTTAACTTCTATTTCCTACAATTCAACCCACCTTTAAACTTTATAATTCTTTCAAATTGATCCATACTAGTTTCTAACTTTATTCTAATATATACCAATAGTTAAAAGTTTATATGAAAAATTTGTATTAAAATAGCAAAAAATTACAATAATTCAACTCGAAATTTGTTTATAGCCTTAACCATAATATTCAACTCATTACTCATAACAGTTAAAAACAGACAACTAACATTTTATGTAAGCATTTCAATTAAAACTTAAAATCCATTACTTTCCTAAAGAAAATAAATAAACATTTTGAGTTGAGATTTATTTAATTATGATAATTCTGAAATCTTCCGAATTCACTTGACGAACATGAATTCAAACTGAAAGTCCTGTCAAACTCTACAATCATCTAAAAATCCCCAAACTCATTTTACAAATCTAAGTTCAAAATTATAATTTTGATAGACCGAGAAGGTTAGAAAGAGTCCTTAAGAAGAATCCCAAGTTTTTAGCTTGAGTTCGACCAAGTCTAAGCCAAGAGACGTGTACTCAAACCTTATATAAGCAAACTATATTATTGGCCATTCAACTAACTGTTTTTGACATGTGAATTTGTTCTAGTTATGCAAACAAAACTTATAATAATGTTCCTGCAACATATGACATTGGGCGTGTTTGGTTGGGGATAATCTCCAATTACTAAGATAATGTCATCTTTTATTATTTGACTATCAAGTTTGGCTGTCAAGTAATATAAGATTTCAGTAATTTTCTAAAATTAATATTAGTTACTATTGGTAATATAGAAGGTAATCTAATTACCTTCATTTTCTTAGGTATTTTAAGATTACTTGGTAAACTTATTTTTGTTACAATTTTATCTCTTAGGAGACGTTTGGATAATATAATGTTTTATTATAGGGTGATGTTAAATTAATGGAAAGATTGATCATATGGAATATTGTTGGGAATGTTTAGAAAATATGTTTGTTTGGTTCAAATAAATTGGTGAATAATATGTTTGGTTGGGAGGATAAATGGGTGGGTATGTTATATAGATTACTGAATTGCTCTCATTTTTAAATATTAATATAATATTATTTTTTGAATCATTTCTTTTAACCCCTTACAACCATATAAAACTTTAATTTGTAGAAAATTAACCCTCACCCACCCCAAGCTACTACCAGCAGCCAACCAGTGTCACCGACAATCAACGAAATAGTGCATGATTGGTCGTATATGGCCGACCATGCATCGGCAAAGCCATTTTCGGTTTCACGGCCAAAGATGTAGTCGTGAAACGGCCATAGATCTGGCTGTAAAGATCTTTGACCATAAAACGACCATAGAAACGGCTAGATCAGGTCGTTTCCGGCCATGGATCACATCTCCATAGCCGAAAAATGCCTTACCAGTGCACGACCGGCCATTGCGGCGATCGACACCAGCGACTGGTGATATTCTTGGGTGGCTGAAGGTATTTTGTTAACTGTCAAACTTTTTTGTGGCTGAGGCATTCGGACAATTGTTATTTGGTAGACATTTGAGGGCAATTGTATTTGAAATAGTATTTAATTAAGGGCAAAATAAATATAAAAATCAGATTACTTGGTAATCTTTTAATAATAGCCCTAGGACTGGGTATTGGATTACCCCTTAAATTACCAATAGTAAACACAATTTTTCCTAAAAGATATCTGTAATATTTTATTACTTACAAATCAAACACTAGAACTTTGCAAAAATAAACGAAGATTACCCCATTATGTTATATGCCCTCGATCCAAACGCACCCTTATTAATAAAATTTTAGGAAAATAATGTCCTTGTTTTAAAAACAATTTACATTAATCTGCCATTACAAATTTACCCCTATTTAAATAAGTTTTTGGACAATATTCTCTTATATTTAAAATAAATTATAGGCCACCTAAGACCACCACCACTCACCAGCCACCACCGTCAGCAACTGGCCAACCACCGTCGCTTGCTTCCGGACGCCGTTGGAGCTCATTAAAAATGGTCGTTGTGCATCAATATGGCCATTTTTGGTCATGTTGATAGCTGGAAATGGCCAGATGGCCATAGATTTGGTCGAAAATGGCATAATTTATTTTGGCCGTTTCCGGCCAAATCTACGGCTTATGGCTGTTAATGACAACAAGATCTTTGGCCGTCGTTAACGACCAGATTATGACCATCAACGGTTAGAACTCTAGCCGTTAACAATGGCCAGGACTGTAGTTGTCAACAACCAAAACTTTGGTCATTAACGACGGCCAATTCTGGCAAAAAATGGCCACATCGGCTAACGGCCGGCTAGATTCAACCGATCGTGCCTCGTTACGGCCACTTACGCTACCCCAGCGATGATAGCAAGTGACTGGCAATGGCTTGGGTGTTTTTGTTAAATTTTAAACTTTTTTTTTATTGCTACGATGTTTTAGCAATATCTCAAATGTAGGGGGTTAAAAAATTATTCAAAAAATAATATTATATTAATATTTAAAAAGGAGGACAATTTAGTAAATTATATAACTTACGCACCAATTTATTTCTCCCAACCAAACATATTACTATAACATACCCACTAATTTATTCCAACCAACCAAACACATTTTTCTAAACATTCCCAGCAATCTTCAAGATAATCTATCTTTCCATTAATATAACATTCCTAGTAATATAACATTCTCTAAACCAAACACACCCATGAGAATATGTTACTTTATCCTCTTAACAGTAATGTAACATGATATATGGGATCATGTTCCATTATTTTAGTCGAGGCGGGGTAAGGTATGGTACATAAGAAACTGATCTTCTTGTACTAGATTTGTTACAACAAATTGTTGCATTAGGGTTAAGTTATAAATTTCAATAACATAACATAACAAAACGTTGCGTAAAATAGACTATTAACATGGTGTAGTGTGAGCATGAATCTTGTTATGGAACATAGATTTTGTACACGAAATGCTTTTTTCGTAATACAAAACGTGAGGTCTACAATATAAAACATATATAGAAGTCATAGAATTGGGATAACAAGGTACACAACAATGAAAAATAATTTGTATACGAAATTTATGCATTATCCATCTTAACAAATCCTTTTAATTTTAGAAAATATGTATAAACTTCTCTTGAAGTTTGAAAATTTTTCATATGTAACATCCTCTCTCTCTCTCTCTCCCTCTCTCTTTTATGACCGAGGGTGTCCGGGCCAACTTACACGTACCTCAACTAATTCCCCGAGAACCTTGGAATTAT